TATGTACATGCTAAAAAACGTAGCTCAGGAGTTTCTAAGGTGTTGCTGTTTAATTTTTATAATTTCTACATATAAAATTGATTCACATTTCCTGCCACATAGTAGTAGTTACAGAAAATATGACTCATTCTATGGTATCTTTCTAATGAATGTTTCAAATTTTAAGGACTGAATATCAAGGTTTTTTTTCGAATATTTAGAAACAAGTTTTTCATAATGCAACATCAGTTATTTTTCAGATGTACACACAAATTTTAGGATGCAAATTCCATAATGTTATTAATTTGTTTCATTTTGATATAAAACAAAATATACATCACTAAGCATTGCCTATAGCACACAGTGTCATGATGAATAGTAAGGCTTGATTGTTGGCAAGTGACATATTCAAGAGAGTTACTTTCAAAATTTAAAATAACTGTTTTAATGTGTGTCAATACATTTAGCATCAGAATGTAATTTATAATTCAACTCTTTATATTATATAATTTTTAATATCTTAATTTCAAAAGAAAATGTGCAGGAAATACCCAATCTTCACTTTTGTTGTCACTTGACTTGTGAGTGCACTCAAGTGTTTTCCTCTTTTAGCTAGCATACCTTCAAAATCCCAGCATGTACACTGTTTATCTTATTTTTGAAACAGTCTATAAACAAGGTCCAATGTACAGTTTGAAATTGATGGCAATATGCATTACAAGTTATATTGGTTTTATAAATTGGCAGTAAGGAAGTTGATGCTCATACCATTTAACAATTTTTATAACTTAATTATATTTTGGGTAGACAGTTATATCATAGTTGGTTTTAGACATCTTATTTTAGTGAATTATGTATTATTTATGTTTTAAAATGTAAATTTGAAAGGTTAGATGTTTTCTTTTTTTTTGCCAAGAAGCTAGAGAAATTTTGACAAAGTTTAGCTCACTGAGGGACAAATGCAAACTTCACAAGCACAGCATAAGAGTATATGGGAAAATGATAATATCTTTGTCTAGTGATTCATGCAGAAATAAACTGTATGCTGTAAAAGTCAGGCAATAGAACTATAAAATTAAAAATAAAGTCCAGAGATACAGCTTTTGAGTGGATTGTTTATTTTTATTTAACTTTATTACAACGTTTCAACCTCTCGTGTGTCCATCATTGTGTGAAATACTGCACGAGAATTTTTTCAAACTTAAAAAACATGTAGCTTTTATTTCACAAATAATTAATGCTTCTTTATTTTTCTTCTATTACACATGGTGTGTATTTATTTCTTTTACTTGTATATGTTAAATTATAGTGATTAATAAGATATTAACTCTTTCCATACAGACGTCCTTTTCTGAGCATGTCACAAAGGTCTTACTAAGTTACATTCAAAATTTAATTATCATGGTATCATAAAGAATAAACTTGGCTTTAAAATGTATTTAATAATCCAAATTGTAATATTATACAAGTTTTAAGTTCTCAATTTTGTAAGAAAATATTTAAACAATTTCTGCTGGTATGATAATTGTGACATTTGTTCTCTAGGTCTTCCCTCTACTCTCTCCTACAAGAAGTATGGAATTTAACATACATTACTCATTATGATATTGTTATTACCCAGGCAAAGCATAATTGTTATAGCCTTCAATCTTATTTGGGTTACATAGACATAAACTAGAAAATCAGGACCATCTTGCTATGCCCACATGTCAAATCCTATATTTCACAAATTCCCAATAGTTCTATCTGACGTTTAATACTATATTATTTATAACCAATAGAAAGCCAAAGTTTTAATCTATCAAATGACATATTATATTGCATTGTTTTCTGTATAGAGAATTTTCTATTTTACTTCCAGTTCAAACTTAATTCCCAGGGGAAACACATTGACAAGCTTAGCTGAATTTTTAACTGACTCTTATCTCATAGAAAGTCAGAAAAATTATGATAATTATAGAACATTGCTTTTTACTTGTTATTATTCTGTGTTCTTAGGTGCATTATTTAATTAAGTAAACAATTATTTAGTGCAGTAGTGCCATTAGTATAAAAAAATAGTTAAGTTTTATTGACAGTCAACAGCAAAAAAAAAAAAAATCTGTTAAGTACTATATTTCTTGTTTTTCATGTGTATTCTTTACTTATTATTATAAAAGTAACTAATGTATAAATATAGGAAACTTTTTAACTTAGATAAGGCTAGATCAGGTAATATAGAGAATAGTAGTAATAATAATGTTCACAAGATAGGCACACAAGTAGCTCCTGCCTACGTAATTTGATATGGTAATGTGAGCTACTTGTTTGCCAAATGACTTACAACTTGTGTAGCTGGACTATTAGTTAGACACAGTTCAAAGGACAATAAAACTTAAGTAGAAACATATGTATACTGTCATGAGTTTTAATGTACTTAGGATAAACAAATGTAGTTTCATGTGACAATTTGAAGCTATTTTAGAAAGAAAAGAAGGATAATTTAGATTTATATCCTAATTTTTTATGGTGGTTACCAGGTCTGTCAAATCCTATAAAGTTAAGAGTGGAGAAAATAACAGAAAAATGTATAATTTAACTGAAAAGAACATTTGAAATTTATTTAGAAGGTTTTGGACACTATGCAAATGAAATTTGACAATTTTCAGATAAATAAAAATATTTTTAACCTTAACATGTCAGTACTTTGATTCCATATATTCATGGTGAAATTTTAAGTGCCCACAAAAGACTTAATGCTTACTGAAAGCTTGCAAAATTTTGTGAAGGTACACAAAACATATTAAAAGTTATAGTTTGGAAACTATAAAAGTCGGTTTCAGGTCACAAACTCAGCCGATTCAACTTTTTAAAAGAAAGGTTTGTAATTTCATTGTCAAAATTTATACAATAATGGTTGAATTGACCAGATCATATAATGTTTCTATTATTTTACTGATACAGATTTTCCACTCTCAACATATATTGATGCAGATAAATAAATGTTAAAGAGTTTTCATTTGTGTTATTGTAGGATCCTACAAACACTGGAGTTCCAGTAACAATTGCCACCAGTGGACAAGATGGCCATCATGGATACAGTCCAAATTAACTTAACTAAAGTGAGAAACTACTGTTTGGTATAAAGTTTGACATGAGGTTTTATTATGTGTACAACTCACACACACAAGCACAGCTATATGGTTGAAAAATTTGTAGTCTTTTCTTGTTGTATATTTGTATTGAACAACTACGTAATTCAACAAAATCAGTAAACCAAATAAAATATATTGTCTTTTTACACCTAACATGCTCTTTCCTGCTGAACTGATCAAGATATTTGTGTAATTAATGTCAAGATGGTATTTTAACTGTGAGTTAACATACTTGTTTGAAATTTATCAACATAACATTCTATTTCTTTAGTGATGAAATTTTGTGTTATAATAGGATTTCAAAAATTTCTTGTATGGTTGGAAATGACATGCATACATTTTGAGGAATGTAAACCTGGTGTTTCATAAATGAAAACAGCTTAAATGTTTTGCAATGGGCTCATGTATTTTACACAATCTTGTAACCACCGTGTAAGTAACTTGCAAACTTCAGTATATATAACTCTGAAAGTACTTAATGTATATTCAAGAAATTCGGCAGACTTTCAGTAAACATTACAAGTCTTTTGTAGACAAAAATTCGAAATTTTTAATTAAGTATTTTTACAAAAAATTTGTCTGTAAATGTATAGATCCAATTGTTGAATGCTTTAACTGCAAAGTGATTTTCATGTTAAGATTAAAAATACTTTTCTTCATCTAAGTTTCATTTGCATAATCTCTAAAACCTCCTAAATAAATATCATATTTTTTTTCAGAAAAACTAATGTATTTGTTAATTTATTTACCATAACTCGTTATAAAATCAGTCAGTTTGACCTACCTTGTTGCCACCATAAAAAATTAAGATATAAATGTAAATTACCCTTTTTTCTTTTTAGAATGACTGGAAATTTATAACAGGAAACCACAATTGTTTATCCTAAATTTACATCTATTTATAGTTAATTTTAGGGTTTTATTTCTCTTTGAACCATGTCTAACTAATAATCCCACGAAGCTGTAAATTACACTGTGAATGTGCAACTCATGTTACCGTATTGAATTATGTAATGCAAGAGCTGCTCAAGAGCATGCCTCGTGAAGAATTATTATTATTTTTCATCATTTTACCTAATCTAACTTTATCTAACCTAATAAGTAAAGAACACGTATGAAAAAGAAGAAACTTAGTACTTACTGTGTTTGTTTGTTTTTCTGTCAACTGTCAATGAAACTTAAGTCTACTTTTTTATATTAATGGTACTACTACACTAAATAATTTTTTATTTAATTAAATACTGCACCTAAGAACACAGATAATAACATGAAAGAAAGCAAACATTGTTCTATAATTATCATAATTTTACTGGCTACGAGATAAGAGCCTTTAAAAATTTAGCTAAACTCTTCATTGTGATTCCCCTGAAAAGGAATTTGAAACTAAACAAAGAAATAGACAATGCTCTAAACAGAAAACAATAATAATATGTCATTTGATAGATTAAAACTGGCTTTCTGTCAGTTAAAACTAATATAGTATAAATCATAAGAGAGAGAGAATTATTGACATTTCGTGAAAGAGAGGATGTGACAGGTGGGAGTAGCAATTTTAAATATTTCCTTATAAGATTAAGAGCTTAAAACTTGTATAATATTAAAATTTGATTTATTAATTACATGGTATGTATTTTCAAAATATCTATCTTTGTAAATATAACATGAAATATGAAACTATGTGATCATATCGACCTTATGAAGACATAATTTTGTTAAGCTTGTGTATCAATTTTACTACATTTTTTGATGTGTTATACTTTTCCAGATCTGAATTAAGAGGAATAAAAGGGTATCCATCTTCAGATTGTTCCACATATCAAGTGGAGGTGTCGATGACCCTAAACTCCTTTCTGCTCCCTTCTTTATTGATCCAGAAGATCAAGACTGAAAATTGTTGCTTTATTTTATTTTTGAAGTGAAATTCCTTAGCATCTTTAAAGAAAGCAGTTTTACACTTTTCAGAGAAGTACCTTTATTTTACTATTGATCCCAAAGGCTATTTTTAAAAGCTGAGAGAATGTTATTTGTCGAGATTCTATATCTGGACATACCTGATTTGGGTGTGTGTCCGTTGTTATTAACTTAAGAGAAATGAGAGCTGAGTGAATGCAATTTTTTTCATAAATGGCTGCCATTGCCCCGTTAACAGAGATTTAGAAGTAATGTAGATTTTTAGAACACTATTCTCTAGTTTTATTATATTTGAAAAGAAAATTTTGGGTGTGGCAGCCATTTAAATATTGTAACTTAAGACACTGTTTATTAGGACTTTAGTTTTCTTTTTGAATGGATATAGAAAGATTGTTTCATGTCATTATTTTTTGTGATGTTTAAATGTTTGGCTTTGAGTCAGCTCTGGACTGAGCCAAGATTGTTTTTCCTCAGTGTTTTTCCCACTTCAAGTGTGTTGATAAGGTGTTTATTTGTGTCCATTGTAATGTCTCTTGTCTGTTTTTAGGTTTAGCTATAGGATTTTAGATGTAGGTGAATATATCTTATTAGACTAAAACATGCACCTTTAATAGGTTGTGCTAAGAGTCTCTTGTTAGAAACAGAGATTCAGAACAACCTACTGAGAAAGTCTTATCGAAACTAATTTGAAGCTAAAAAGGTTTAAGGAATTTGAATTAAAGTTTCCAGTGAAAAACTTTGCAACTGTCACTTGAATGCCTTAAGAGAGTGAACGTACTAGAGTTTGTGCCTTCATTGTCAGCTTTTTATTGTCTTACAGAATCTGTCAAGCTCTGGTTTTTGTTTTTATTTAGTATGAAAGTAGTTAGGAGGAAAGAAAGACTGAAGTTTTAGCACCGAAGAAGTTCTGGATAGATTGTATGTTTTTATTATGGGTAGGTTATTGATAGAAGAGCAGAAAGTTTTTAAGATGGCAAGAAGTTAAGTTTTAAAAACCAAAACATTTTCAAAGAAGTTAAATGATTGCTCATTAAGTGTAAGTGATTGACACCACCTTACCATTCTCAGAACAAAGATTTTTTAAGCTGGTTTTTCTTGTCTTACATGTAATAGGGAATGAGTGTTAATAACTTAAAGTACATTTATTCAGGAAAATTTGAAAATGCATTGCAAAAAATATTGAAAAATTAATGTACAGTTATAAACTTTGCATCTTGTTTATATCTTATAAGTGAGCCATTTAGAACAAATAGTGTAATGGGAGAATACTTAAAAGTTTTGGTTTGATAACAAATAAAATATGTAAGTTATAGCAATAAAAAAAAATTGATAATAACTGTTTTAAAAAATTAAATGTTTGATCATTCCAAATAATTGAAAATGCTTCTGATAGTTCCCGATGTTGTTGAGTGTTGGAGTACTTGTTAGACAAGACCTGTAGAATAATAACACAGTGTCCACTGTTTTATTTTATTTAGTCATTTGGAATATGAACTCTGAGCATTCTATGATTTTTTTAATAAGGAATTCATTTTTCTATTTTCTGTTGTTTTTTTTTTATTAAAGGAATATTAGAATTGCAAATAAGTAATGCCTATTTTGAAAGAACTGTGTTATTTATGAATTATTTTCTGAAGAGTATTTTAAGGGGTGGTCTGTGAAAAGCAGAAGTGATAAATTTCATTGAATACAAGCATTGGATTTAACTTTTTCTTTTCTTTATTAATCTTTTAAGATTGTAAGGAGGAGACTTATTTGGTCCAAACTGATTAAGTTTAAGAAAATCTCAAAATTCATACATTCCTAATTTTCTTTAACTTTATTTTTTTGCTTCTGCTAAAATTGCATGTATGTGCTCTTTAGTGTATATCTTTTAATAATCCAGTTTCATTAAAGTTATTGCCTTAGTGATAATTTACCAATCATTTGCCGTGTTACTTTCAAGTGCTAATAACCATAATCCTATAGATCATACACAAATGTATTTCAGCTATACATAAATCACTAGGTTGTTTTTGCCTAGTAACATGCTTTATAAAAACAAAACAGAATGAATATAACATAACTTGTAAATGTTACAGTATCATTCTTCTTAGTTTGTTATATGAACTGTTAAGTAATTTCACGGAGCCCTTTTTCATGTTAAAAAGAGTCGCTAAAAGAAAACAAATGCATGAATACACAAGTCACTCATTTGTAAATTTGTGTAACTTTCTACTAGTTAGAAGGCACCAACAAAACCTAATTTTTTTACCCTGACAGAATGAAAAATACATTGATTTTTGCAAAAAAGACCCCAGAAGAATAAAGTTCATCATAATAACTTGAATTGAAGGGGGAGGGAGGACTTTGGCAACACAGAACTTATAACATAGGCTTTTTCTGTACATGTGTAGTTGTTTCGATAGAGTGTTTTAAATCTGGTGTATGGTACATTTTGTGGTGTTATCTTCTTATGGTAATGTTATTTAATTGAAAGGAAATGAGAATGTTGTTATGACACTTGGAGCTTTAATTTTCGAAGTTATATTCATTTATCCCACTTGAACTCTTCTTCGCGTGTAGTGTATTTCAAAATGCACAATACATATACATATGTATAGATTGTAAACTTTGCAAATGAACTACAGAACGGAGTAGACTGTTAGTAGACTAGAATTAACTTTTGAAGTAAGTTACGTCAGTGTCTTCTTCGTGTCAAAAACATATGAGAGAATGCAATATGGCTGTGCAGGCAGCTTACAGTGTATTTTTCTTCAAGTCAGAATAAACAACTTATGAAAGGAATACAGTGAACAAAAGTCAGTATTTAAATTTTATAATACAGTTTTCTATATATATATTGATAAAAAGTTTAGATGCAAAGAGACATATCTGTTTATGATTTATTTGTTCAGATAGTTAGAGGCTTGTTTGGAAGTTGAAATACTATGCTTGATGAATTTGTTTTCTGGTAGAAAAAAAACTTGTGAACCAAAGACTGCTGGATATTGGTGATCTATTTAAATAAAAATGTCTTTTCTTAGAACTGTGACACATTTGTATTTAGGAGTTTCCATATTCAGGTTAAATAGCATCTTTATAAACCTGTGTGTTGTATATCTCAAGATCGTTTATACAAATAACAATTGAGGAATGTAAAATGCTCTTTGTGTTAATGATTACTTTTTAAAAGTGAAAAATCTCATTGGGGATTTTAAAGTATGCTAGGTCAAAAGTAATTTGTTCAGAAAAAAAGAAGGATGATCCTGTGGAAATGTTTTATGTCATGGGTTTATAAATTTTCTTTCGTAAGAAGTGGAAGCTTGTGTATGTTACAGATGTTTTAGAAATAGGTTATCTGTAGGGCTCCTATGTTTAGGGATTGAACTTTGATTTATCATTGTATCAATATTAATGCAAGGAGAATATAACTGGATTTCTTTTTATGAATATTTTTCCAACATTTGGTGCTTTTTCAGTGCTAACATGGTTATTCCAAACATTCCACAAAAAGCAAGAAAACATTCATAGTTCAGATTAGTTTTTTTATTCCTGATATATCATTGTTTGGTGGGGAAAAAACATTCTGTCGAGGCCGCAGCATGTTCATTTTTCTGATCTAGTAATAGATTGTTATAAGGTTTTTTTTACTCAAAATATACCAGAAGTAATGGTTCAATTAATAAAAATATGAAAGCAGGGTTTGTACAGGCTTTTTACATCCTAGAAAGTCATGGAAGATGAGCTCCAAATATTTAATTACTGGAAATTATGAAAAAATATCTGTTTTTAAGTCACAGTTGTAGAAAATCCCGATACTTAAGTTCAATAAAAATCTCATATAATATAATTGGCTTAATTTTGAAAAATAAAAGAAATTTGGTTATCAGAATAGTGTTTGTTTATATTCTGCATTGGCCATTTTGAATCTTGTGTCTTGCGATACCCAAGACTGTTTCAATTTCTGATGGCAGGTACACTAGGTAGACAGATATGTACGAATTTAGTACTGTGTGGCAGGATTTGAGAGTCCTGGAAAATGTTGAGTTTTATTTTTTAAAGTCTGTATGAACTCTGCAGAAGCATTCCATTGTAAGTTGTGCTTTTGTAACTAAAGTGACATGAATTATTTTTAATTAAAGTGGAAAAGTGCCTGTTTAACAATGTTAACTAGAAGTTTCCATCTTTATTTTTACATACTGTTTTTATAAAAGTCAAGAGACAGCCTATAAACAAAGTCTGTTTTCAAGTAAATAGCTATTAACTTAATAAAATGATGCTGTATGTCATTGAAAATAAGAGTGTAAAGAATATTGTCAGACCAACCCTTTCCACATCATAAACTGAATGTTTTGGATATGAAAAGAAAAAAAGAGAAACAAATTCTACTTCGCTTTCCTTAACAATACAAGCTTTTACAAAAAAAATAGCCTGCAGTGAAAAGATTACATTCACGTATGTGAGAAATACATGTTTATAAGCTTATTTCCAAAACACTATCAATGGGTCATTTATAATTCCAACTTGCAGTAAATTAATTTCTTATTCAGGCTTTGAAACTAATTATATATTACTGGCCACTTTTCAAAACGTTTTTACACTATAAAGTTCTGCTACTAAATTTTTATCCAGTGTACCTCTGATAGAAGGTTAATGAAAAAGTTGTAATAATGACAATATCAATGTACACCTCATGTGGGAGGCTACTCATAAAACATGTACAACTGCAGTATTTTTTAATAAAAGGAAATGGATACTTATCAAACACTTATAAATAAGAACAAACAAACTGTGTGACTGGTGGAAATAAGGTGAAGCATGGTCTGAATCAAAATCTGAAAGTAAAATTATGAAAATATTTATAGCTTTTTATGGTTTTCAGAAATTGGAAAACAAATCTCCTGTTTTATGTTGTGAGACACTTTTCATCTTTTTCAATTGGAAAAGTCTTACATCAAACAGAAAATCTAATTGAGAACTGTAGGTGTAAAAATAACGTACTTTTAGTTCATGTGGATTTTTTGTTCATTTACAGCTTTTTATATGGTGCCACAAATGCAAAAGAACCTTGATTTGTTGTAAGTAATAAGAAGACTAAAAACTGTTGTGTCTGGTTTTCAAGGTCTCTTAATAAACTAAGTGGAATTGTTCAAAGGTTTTGAAGAACTTTCAGACTTTACATGTATGAATCTACTTGAGCTTCATTCACAATCTCATACATCAGTATACTTCTGGTCTCTTTCAACTCATCAGATAAACTTGTAGGTATATGTGGATATCACGAATTTGTGGACGTCCAGGAGTACTTTTCTACAGTCTGATCTGACCAGAAATATTGTAGGGAAATTGTAGTGACACTTTGTTCTTTTGACTTGTTCCATAATTAAATTGTTGCTGTTAACACGCAAGTTTGACAGAGAAGATAACAAGGATCAGAAGTTGGTCATTAGCCACACTTCCAATGAAAGTGAAGCTATGTTTATGTAAATGTGTGCAAGCGTGTTAAGAAACCTTTGGTCGCTCATCTTTTACAGTGACTTTTTTCAAGTGACCAAGTTAAGACTAATAAAAAAATTTTAAAGCAAAAATTTTGCAGTTTCATTTGATTTATTATTATTTAAAAATTCTTTCTGAACTTGATGATTTAATTATTTCTGTTTTACATTTACCTGCATTTTAACAGATATTTTCTTGGCATTGTATCATCAGAAGTTAAAAAATTTAAACTGATCTATCAGCTTTGTGACCGAGTTGGATATCAGCACTGTTGTATGCTCCAACTTTTTTTTGTTCTATAAATGACAATTATTCTCTTAAACATACATGTTTTGTAATAATCTGAAATCCATTTATGTACACAGTTCTATTTTAATACATAAGAATATCCACTGTAAAGTTCCAAGGCATAAGATGTTTTAACGAGAACTTGTTAATATAACCTGTGTGTCCACAAATATTCATATATATGTACCTTCAGGTGTTTAATTTGAAGGTTAGGTTTTATATATAAGTAGTGTCCATAACCTTGTACAACATCATATACACATTTTATATACATTTTGTAATTTTTAAATTTGCTATAGTACTATCATCATTAAACTTATCTTGTTCCTGAGTGATAACAAAATAAGACCTTTAAACACTGGTAACTTACGTACCTAGCTCCCACCTCCTTAACTTTTCTCATTTTTGATACCAGTTTATTAAATTGCATGTGTTTGGTCATATTTCTCATCCGAATTCTAGTTTTAGCATTAACAACAGACTTGTATTTTTTAGACGAGAGTGAGTTGAGAGGAAATTATTTTGAATGCAGAAACTAGAAATAACTTGCGTTAACATAGATGTTGTACTGTTATTGGAATAGAAAAATAGGTAAATGTTTAGGTTGAAAGTGTCAAGCTGTTGCCCAGAGTGAGGTATTCTACTAGAAGTTGCAGCACAACATTGGTACTATCAAGTAATAGCTGAAGTCTAAATTATACTGTTTAGGTGTAGAATAAACTTAGAAATGGCTTTCGAGAATATTTGTTTTAAAACTAGCATAAACTCGCTGTTTAATTGTGTAGGTATGCAGTTTACTTTCCCTCTCTTCATTCAAGAGTTACTAATTAAAATAACTTTTCTTTGTTTTTGTTTGTTTACATATTCTCTAAACTGTTCTTAGAAGTACCTCAGGGTCGAAATATGTTAAGTTCTCATGGCGAAATGTTGTGAAGATAGATCATATATATATATATATATATATTATAACTACTTTTTATTAATATAAAATTACATCCCTGCATAAGTTAATGTTGAAGTTTAATTTTATATTGAATGTTACATTTGTGTTTTTCATGAATTTATTTACATTTTATAGAAATTTCAGTAATTGTCAAACTAGAGTTTGATTTTAATTAACATTACTTGCTTGCATTATTTTGTTTAGCATAACTCAAAGTTCTGTTAAGTTTTTCATAACAAGTTTAAACTCACATTTTGGTTTAATGAAATCCTGTACTCTTGTACTCACATTAAGTTAATTGTTATTTGGATATGTATCTTATTTTGTCCTCGGATTAAGGAAAACTTCAGTTGGTATAAATCTTTAGTTTTCGAGCCAATATTAGAAGATGTTTTTGTATAGTAACCTAACTGTATGTAAAATTATTTTGTTTCTAACTAAAACTCTAGGAAATTGGTAATGAAGTGTTTTTAATTTTGTTTAAACCTATTTGTTGGTTATAGCTTAACACTTCATGAAATTAGTCTTAGTGCTGGCCATGTGAAAATTCTCTATTAAGATTACAGTGTACAGGTTGGTTATGGTCTTGCACCTGGTTCAGAAGAGTGTAACTCAGACATGACAGTGGAGATTTAGATGAAGTTCATAAAGTATGATTATCATGAGGTATGAGACACAATGAAAACAATTCTACAAGGTGCTGCTGGGCATGCTTTCAACCGTATGTAAAAACAGAACCTGTAAATGCTCTTTGCATTTATGCATCTAGTTAAGTGAGAAACAAAAGAAAGTAACATTAGTGATTCTCAACTATCAACTAAAAGTAATACTGTGGAATCATTATAGCACTATCTGGCAGCAACTCTTTTTGTGTGTCAAGCATGTCATACCCTGTGAATTTCAATACTGTCACATCTGCAAGATTTTTATAACCACTGTAGAGTTACTTCTATTTTGTACAATAATTCTTTCGTTTAATTATAACAACACAAGTTGTTTAGTATCTTAACTTTCTATTGATTTCTGTCTTAACTAAATAAACTGCAGGTGGGAGGAATCATTATCAGGAAGTTAACTGAATAAACAGAACACAGTAACAGCCAAACTGGTGAATCATGCCATTCCCTTATGTCGCATATCAATATCTTTCAACTAATTTTCACTAAACTGATATGTTTACATATTATAACAGCTCTTGTAGGTAATGTACATAATCTTCTATGGCCACAATTTACATAACTAAACTTAATATAAATTACTCTATTGCAAAGATTGTTTGTTATAATCTGTTTTTATCTTATCATTTCTCATTACAGATATACTCTATGCACACATCAGAAATCGTTACGTGACATATGTCTTTTGAAATCAGAAAGTATACATTGCAATACCCTGAACAATGAATACAGTTATAAAGATTTATTTTTTTAGGGGAAACTAAAGATGTTGATTCTCAGATTATTAAAGTTTTTTACATATATATATATATATATATATAAATATTTTTTTTATTTAATAAAATACAAAAACATTTTTTTATGGTGGCTCAGAATACAAAAAAAAATGGGTAGGCTTTAAAATGATAAAAATTCTTTTAACTATCAATTACTATGACAGTTGATACACAAAGAGGCTAAAACTTTCAATAATTACCAACCATAGCTTGAAATGTATCTGTATTTAGGTACCAAAATAAACTTACTAATACAAAAAAAACATGTAAAATTTAATTATCTAAAAAATATGAAATTAAACAGTATGAAATACTACATTTAACTACTGTAATAATTAACATTTTTATAAAACTGCATATTTTGTACATTCTATGTACAAAGCAGTTAATAAGTTTCTTAGTTAATCAGGTTTACAGTTAATATTTACCTTAAGCACTTGCATCAAGAGAGGAACAACAAATGGAGAGATCCTTTGGTCACAAACCATAATTACAATTCAAGATTCTATACAGTTATGAACACAGAATTGAGGTCACTGACATTAGTTACTGTACATGTGAAATAAAAGTTGCTTAATAGCACACTGATTCTATTCTCCAGTTTAAATAGCAAGAATTCACAATACATTTTGATCAACTAAAATTGTACAATAATGTGTGCAACTTCAAATTGGATCATACTGCATAAGTTCAAACAAAAAAACTAGGTTTATTTGTTTTTGATATGTGACTGGATAAATAGTTTTCTTCTCGTTGAGAATGTAAGTAATGCTTGTGATAATCTTCATTGCCACACGAAGCTGGTAAAATATGGTAGCTGAGGTCCAATAATTGTTTTTTATTTTGATAATGGTCACTTTTTTTCCTTAAAGAGGATAATAGTTTTGGTTATTTTTTCTAAACTATAGCTGACTAACAGTTGGAATCCTTGTACATAACTTACAGACATTACCTCTCCTATGCCGGATATAAATTTCTAAACATTTTAACGTATTAGCAAAATCTGTATATGTGTTAAACCTTGGATCAAGGACCTTGATCACAGAGCCACTCGATAATTGGCTTGAAACAAAAAATGGGACAAATATTAGGCCCATGTGATTGGCTTGAAGGAATGCACTTGGTGTTTTCTGTAGTGTTGGTTAGTTGGAATGGATATAGGAGGTTCTATTTTTTTGGTGAACAAATTGATTGGAATGATGAGGTAAAGAGTTAGTATTAGACTCTGTATGATGCTGAAAATCAACTTGCTGAAGAAACTGCATGCTTTCATATTCAAAGAAGTTTGACGCTGGTCTGTTTCTTCGCCCCACAGGAGAGAACTTGATCGTCTGTGGATGTGGAGGTTGATGTCTGAATAAGTGCACATTCTGCTGAATTTCCTTGTAGTTCATGTAATGGCTGTACTTGTTTGAGGTAGCCAAACTTTCCCTGCCTTCTAGCCTAGAAAAATTCAACACAACATAACTAACCTGCTAAAACCCCAATCCTCCCTTTATGGAAAATAATACCATTTAACAAATCATATACCACTACAAACCATTCCAGACCCTATTGCAACAAGGTAGTTCATGTGAGAGATTGTACAATATTTTTATATTAACTTTTGGTTAATGGTAATGAATTCATTGGGTAAAATATATACAGTTACTCAATAAATAATACAAAAATGGCATTTATGAAAAGTATCGAGATACACACTTAACTTTTCTGTTTGATTATGACTAACAAAAGGCTACATATGAGTTAATAAAATAATCCATACAATTATAACTGAGCATTCCTTGGATTTTAATCCACCTCCTAAGATCATTTTCTTCTCTAGCCATATTTACCCTGGTTTCATTACTAGAGTCTAATTGCACAATAAGGTGTCTAGCTCATACCTTTCCATCTCCCTATAGATGCCCAAATCATTGATTCTACTGTGGGCAGTCTCAGTTTTCTGTCTCTATAAAAGACATTGATATATAATTGTATTAAAAACAGATATAAATTAAAAACATAGCTGTTCATTGGCTCAGTTTTGAAAGTGGTTCAGGACCAATTTATAATCATCAATGACCAGTCATGATCCAGTAAATGGCTTTAATGCAAAAAAATATCTGACTTACTAAATGAATAAATTATTATCTATTTTCAAAAGTCTGTTCATGACTCTTTCATACATACTTATGGTCCTATGAGTTAAGAAAAGCTACATTAAAGGAAGCTAATACAATTACACTGTAAAAGTTTGGTTATTTCAATAGGTTACTTTTTGTGTCAATTCACATTTTTTATACTTATTTTTCATTGAACTTTATGTGTCATTTATCACAAGTTTTTTTTTATATTAATTTCAACTTACTAGCAATAAGCTAAAGCAACTTAATTTGATAAAGTGAATCAGAATTAATAGTATCTTGTTTCAGTAGGATTTCAGAAATGAAATAAAACCTAATAACTAAATAGTGCAAGTCTAAACATTGGGTGAAAGGAGTATGTGTATAGATTCAAATGTTCTACCATGGATGTGGTCACCAAGCCCCAGGTGATCCAATTAATAAATGCAGATAAGTAACAAAGTGATATAAATATAATGTTGGTTTCCTATCCACTCAATCTATATCAGTATGAATTCTTCAACTTAGTGAAAAGTCATCATTGTCAGGAGAAACTGGGGTATGTGACCATAATTTTGATATTTTGACGAATCTTTTTATTTACCCCCACTCAACAACAATTTTCTAACTAAGAAGAAAAGCAGTAAATTTGTTATACATATAACAAAGTGGCTGAGTTTTTATTAAGTTCAAAGAAGTAAGTGTAAGTTAAAGACCAAAACAGTAGTACCTAACTATGGATAGCATTTTGCTCTTGTAGTACCTTGCTGTGGATAGCATTAGTGTTGCACCTGTAGCACTTGCAACTATGAGTAAATCTACTTTGACAAATGCTATCCTCGTATTGTGTGGTAGATTAAAAGATGTATTAAGCTAATTATTAGATGTAAGCAAAATAAATTCTAAGATATAACTCTGATCAGTAAGAATCACCAACAAAACAATTGAAGTAATATTTTAACTGACTAGAATGGGAAAAATAGTATATTACTAGCAATTTATGCAACATCGAGACTTAAGGGGGAGTTATTTGTCAAATACAAACGCAAGAAATAATCATGTTGATCAGTATTCAAAATCAGCAAAGATGAGAATCTGTTCGAGCATTGGGTTACAGGTTAAATAAGCTTTATGATCATCCCAAGAAAAAAACTGTTAGAATTAAAGGACTGATATCAGGCTTAATATGATGAATCCAATACAGCTATTGTCATATTACTACATTTTATTGAGATAGCTACTCATGATTAGGTGTGAGAGAGGTAAATTTATGAACCAAAATGCTAGAAAGTAAATTTCGTAAAACTTAACAGTTCTAATATCATGGATATTAAGCCTATTAAATGTTCATCACCACCAGAAAACAACTGAAGAAATACTGTAACTGACTAAAATAGGCTAATAACACGTTACTACCAGTTTATTCAACATGGAGGTTCAATCATATAAACTAGAATGATTTAACATAAAAACAACAGCTTTAAATGAGGATTACCCAGTCACTTTATTAATAACTGTAGAGGTGACAGACCTAAAGTCAAAAGGAAGAGGTTGGCTGTTATCATAGATTACTGAGAGTATAGGAGTGTTAACATTAGTAAAATTGTACAAACTGATGAGTTGGCAATTGCATATCAGATATTATAACTTTGAAATTTAATTTTGTTATTTTTTTTATGCAGAACTAAAAACTAGGTGGTTTAATATTGCAGGATGCACCTCACTGTAAATATTTATAATAATTTTGCTTTGAATGGGTAAGTTTTCTAAATCTTTCTTGCCAAAAATGCTTAAAATGTTTTATATAATGTTATACTTACACATTGTTTAATGCAAGTACAAAGTTCCTCAGCTGTCTCAAATGCTAGTACGTTTTCTCAATAATTTGAAATGTTTTCAGAATATTTCTTGTTATGTACAGTGTGTAAAACTTCCTTATCTGTTGTAGTTGTTCGGCATGAAATAAAGTTTATTAAATGACTAATTTTTAAAGCAAAACTTAACTGGGATAGAATACTATGACAGAAGTCTGATATGCAATACTGTACCTTAACCAAGACTTGATTGCCTAAAGAATAGAGTTTAGAGATTAAATAGTTTGACTTAGCTGAAAACAGACCAGCATTAGATAAAGAATTACAAAGGACCTAAGACAAATACCCAACCACTATTGTGAAAGATCAAAAGCTAAAGATGATATAACCAAAGACTTTAGTAATTATGTAGGATTTCAAAACTGATAAAACTTTGTTCGATATTTTTACAGTACACATACATTTTTTAAATATAGATGTAATATATATTTAAATAACTACATAGGTGTACTAACTGTAGCCTGCACAAAATGTGTCAAAAAGTTTTAGTAAAATATAAGGGCCTGAAGTACACTAAAATTAAGTTGTGCTACAAAAGTATTTGTACCCAATGACTATGGCAACCAAACTCATGAAAGTCAGAGTGCAAAGTGATGTTTATGTGAAGAATCAAATTACTTTTGTCTCTATCTTACAGTTTGCATTTGCGTGGGTGTCAAAATGAATGTCACATCCTGTTACAGAGTGTCATTCAGCATGGTATTATGTAGTTGATGTAAAGAGTTATCAACTATTCATTTTACTCTAAAGTACTGTATGGTAGAGGAAAGTAAATGGCAAATACAGCAAACAGGAATACTAAAAAAAACTGTAGGTGTGCATTTTGGATGTTCTAAATGTTACCCATGCACATAAGGTTAATTCAAGGACCTTATCAACACTTGTATTTTAAGCATGCAACATAGTGTCAGACATCCTTTGCTGTTTGTGGTGATCCTATTCAATATTGGAATGAAATGTACAGATGTAAAACCACATTTACCAAATGAACATTTATAAGGATAAGCTTAATGACTAATCATTTACATATTAGATAACATGATTAATTACTAGATACTTGATTTGCTGTGTAGTTTATATGCTAGAACATTGTTAATGATATTTACTAATGTTTTCCAAAATGCCTTTTGACTATACCTAAAATAAAATATCTAAAAACTATTATAATATCAAACTAGAAGACATTTTTTTTTTCACAAGCAACAAGATAATGTCCAACGTTAATTAAAAGGTATTTTGCCACACAGCTTAGCATTATCATAAGTATCAAATACTTCAACAGGGTAAGAGTTGTGATAAAAAAAACTGTCAGCTAAATTACTAACATAAAAACTACACCAAGTATCCAATACAATAGTAGTATATAAAATGTGTGTGTGTACTTCTTTAGTCTCTTACATCTCCAAAAGTCAAATGGACTGGTCATATGTTCTTAAGTATTAAGCACTTTTTTGCCACTTTAAACATTAATGGCTCCAGACTTGCAACAATTTTTCTATTAGCTTAATAGATATGACTCAGTTGGCCTGTGCAGTTTCTTTATTGAGAGCTAAAATAAGTTGCCCGTGCTTTTAAGGAAAAAATGATGTTACATTTAGTAAAACAACTGTTCCACCATTTTCTTTATTTTTAAGTTATATTTGAAATTTTGAAGTGGAACTCTTATCTCAGTATTTTACTTTCTTTACCATCCACTAACATGTAAATATAAAATACACTTATAATTAAATGTGCCAATTTCTTGAATTCTTTAGCTATTAGTTTTGAAAGAGTAAGCAAGTGATGAGTACTATGTTCATACGTAATTAGATTTTAACATAAAGATTCTCAGTAATTTCAGTTAAAGTACAGACAGCTAACTCATGCTAACTCCACAAAATGCTTTTAATAAGCCTTCCAATGTAATTCAAATAAGTTCCATATTTAAATCAAATTCACCTATCTATTTTCAAGTTTAGATATTAAATAAGCATTAGTTTGTTTGTATTTTAAATTAGAACATAAAAAAGGAACTAGATTAACATAGTGTTACAACAGCGGAAGTCACGTGACACTAGTAACACATCATGAGCTTCTAGAAAATTCATGTCCCTTCGTGAAGCCTCGAGTGTTTACTGGATGTGCGGTATTCTTGTATATAAGACCGCCAAGAAGCGATGGCAACAATGGAATTGTTTGCTGACAGAGATAGAGACGGACAATTGAGTCAAGCGCGTGAATCGTTTGTTGTGAATTATAGTGTTTAAGTTATAGCGTGATTGTGGAAATTAAGTGTATTGCAAAGTTGTATTAAGAAAGAATAAGCTAGTTTTATTCAAAAAAGGACTTGTATCGCTAAAGTTTCTTCGGAAAGAAATTTTTCGGAAAATTAACAAACGAACACAGAGGCGTAACAATAGTAATATTTTCAAGGTATTTGTTTGCCTTATTGAAAATCTAAGTTCACTAGTGTAACAATATTTATTAACCAAAACTCACTGGTTTTAGATCAACCACTTCTTCGTGCCCAGGATAATAGCCTTTTTGCTCTTGATGTTGTTGGTGGCAAGTTCTGAGTTTATGCACTTTCTTTTGCCTATTCTGAAGAGAAATGTTATTTGCTAGGTTGAAGGGTCCTTTACTGCATGTCACTTGTTGTTCTTGTCTTTGTTTCTCTTTATGTATCCTATTCAAAAATTTCTACCACTTTTAGTAAATGCTAATAACAGTAACTTCTAAAATAAAATAAAACACTAAATTACAGTCCACTAAAAGTTTATTATTACCCTATACAGATATTTTTACACCATGACACAAAGACTAGACACATAAGCATAACAAAACAATATTAATTTCAAAATCAACACAATAATAGAATATTTTATAAAACCCTTCAACATGAACGAAATATATAGTAATAATAATGATAATAAGCCTTATAACAACAGTTGAATACATACATGGAAAAAAAAAATTGCAAACACAATAGAATTTGCTTTAACATAGATAACTGGTAATCACATTACAAAAGTAAACCCTTATCAGAAATGTGTACAAATAACATTTTACGTCAGAAATACTAAATATCCTAAATAAAGATGAAGCCTAATGCGCATTCATACAAAATACGTGAACTCAATTCAAAATCAAGCATAGCCCTTTAACAACATCTACAAAAATAAATCCCTTCAATACACAGTACAGGATGATTCAACATACAAGTACATGATGAAAATACCCTTTAACATAGTTCACCCATCTCTGTAGTGCATTTTAGTATTAAACCCTTTAAAAAATAATTCCCATCTCACAAGAATAAAATCATTTTCACAATGACCCATGGATACTCAAATTCATTGATATAAAATCAAAGCGCTTTAGCAAAGATTGACACCAATAACCAAATTTTGTAAAAATGACATGCAACACATAGACACAACTACTTATCTGATCTCTTCTGTTCAGATGTGCTGCAGTCAGTGCAAGGGTTGGCTGTGCAGTGGGCATGCTCAGCTTCAGTGGGATATTAAGGAAAGGTAATGCTTCCCTGTAAATCCTGGTATTTGGAGGTCTGATGGCATGTTTTTTTTTTTGTTGTGGGAAGAGCCACTGGTTCCCTAACTCCAAGATAAATCCATAAGCAGTAACAGATGGATCCTACACTTCAGAATTCCACTAGCGGAAGATCCTCTTTCATATGTTTAATGTCTGCTGCACTCAGGCTGAGAAATTCCCCCAGAGGTTTTAGTACTTCAGGTTACTTCTGATGTCACTGAAGAAAATACAATTTTCCATAGTGAACTGATCTCTGGTCACTCTAGTTGATTAGATAAGATGGCTAGAGGGGTCAAAAATTGGATTTTATATGGCATAAAAGTCTAGATGAAAATGCTTGGTCAACTTGATTTCTGACTAGTCAGAAGATCAGCTAGAGACATAGACTTGAAAGTTGTAATGTGTCAAACCTACTGCCCTAGTCACATTCCATTTCTACAAGCATATATATATATATATATATACATACATACAAAGGTATATCAGTCTCCCAAGGAGTTTGAATATTCCAATCCAGCAAGCTTCATAAGAGACATACACTTCACCAATACACAGCCATACTCCTCACTGGGTTGTTGCCTAGTGGTGACCACAGATAACACTCAAGTTGCACAAGTCTTCCACCATTAATTAGTTGTTGTGGAAACAGAGCTCAATATAGATTTAGAATTGCTGGTAAAGTTTCCTAGAGAGATTGAAATCAGACTAGTATTGTATAAGTGCTGGCATCTAGTTTCTGATCACGAGAACCCATCAGCACAAAATACCTTACTCCTATATGTTTATGTTCTGACAAAAGCACAACACAGCTTGAAGCAACACAACCCAGGTGTTACTTTCTGCTTAAGACTATATGATCACAGTCCACAATAATGTATGTTCTAACTATAACTGTACTGAGAAAGAAGTATTTTATAAAGTTGCATGCTTATGGAATATTTCACTATCTATGATGAACATATGACATGGAAACCAACCAAAATATTGGGTATATCCAAATTTCTTTTGATATGACAAAAACTATTGTCAGGAGATTTAATTTTTTGCAGATAATTTCACCTGCTTATATTAATATTTTACTTTGATCAAACCAAAAATATTCTTCACTAACATTATGGAGTACATAGGGTAACAGTTTAAGCTTCTGTTTTTTCTCCCCAGTAAAAATCCACAAATTTATGAATACAGATGGTTGAATACATAATATTAAAATGATTTTCAATGTACAAATCAATAATCACAGCTGACATATAGTTGCAGTGGAATGGCATATATCAGAATTATATTTTGACATTGCTTGGCATTTCATAGATAGTGTGATGCCACCAAAAACTGATCATTTTTGGAAAAGATATGTAACTGCCATTATAGCACAAAATATTCATAAACTCAGAGCATAAAGATGTGTTTAGATCAGTGGTTTAAAATTTCCAAGATGTAAATATCCCTTGTGCTGAATGGCATTGGAAACAATGGAACATAGATCGACTTGGGGTACTAGCACCATCCAGAAATAGACCTGAATCAAGTTGAATCTGCAGCAATATAAATAAAGTAGGTGAGAATCAACAAGCATGAAGGTCAGTTGCAAAAGCTATCCATTTATCTCATGCAACTGTATGAAACATAAGAAAGATCTTAATCTAGAAATGAGGCAACAGGTTACGAGTTCACTCAGATGAGGCTTTCAGTCATACTTCCCATTTAACCATTGCATATCAAAAGCAGTTGGAAAATGAAATAGGTATTCATGCTAGTCCATAGAAGACATATAGGCTAAGTTACTGGATGCAGCTCCTTTGAATTTCTGTGCAATCAAACTTGAAATGGTTGTTGGGAACAATTATCCTTGTACACTAAATGGATTATGGAAAGCAAGCAGGTGGTAGTGGTGTGATTTAGACATAACAATCTTATGATAGAGCCTACTGCATAATTTGCCTTTACTGATGTGAAATAATAATTCCATTGATAACAACCTACTACCAAAACAGGTAACCATTATGGCTGTTCTGATGTTCTGAGATGTGTCTATGGCAAGGGAACCTTCAGTGAAACATGAGCTTTCTGTGATACAGGCAACTTAGAAGGACACCTATGTGATATTGTACCACCTAACTAGGTAGTTTTCCACAGACTTATTGATAAGGATTTCCTTTAAATCTGTAGACACCATGATGGAAAATGTCTTCCCATGTATATAGCTATGCAAATTGTTTAAAAGGTGACTGCATTCTCTGATGGATCCATTTCAAGACTTGAACTCGGTTCCAATGAATAGATCAGTTCTTAACCAGGTCAAAAATTTGGTGCAGCTCAGTTAGTTACCAAGTTATTCCTCATCAATGTGCTTAACCAAATTAAACACTGGTCTGCCAAGACAAGCATTAGGTATTGTGCTGCCTATAACTGAGTCCAGCCATTCCAAGCAGTAACCAGCTCCAAACACTTAAGGAAGAAATCTAGGTCTTCCCGAGTTGTTCTCTTGAACATGAGGAATCTGCTTCTTTAACTTTGGAAACAAAACATCTCGAGCAGCGCATAAGTCAACATGCATCAGGATTATGTGTTGTTGTTGTTACTGCTCAGAGATGTATATATTTGAACAAATGCTCAGTCATTGATTCTTATACTTGACACTAGGGATGCACGGGTACACAGCCGGGCAGGGTATTAAGCTACGTGGTAATACTTGGCTCAAGCTGAGTGTCACAGTTAGGCATCTAAGCCCTAATCTTTGTAACACCTAACGTGGTACTGAAAGTTACAGTCAATAATTAGTTTAATTATAAAAACATGTTCTGAGCAAAAAAAACTGACTGCCCCCTGAAAGTTGGGAATTGAAAGAACAACAGAGGTTAATAACAGGCATGGCTTGAGAAGGGGATTTCTGGGTAAGGTGGGGTTTGAGAAGTTGGGGCTAGGCATTGAAAGTTGAAAGTAAAACTTGAATGTTCTGTTGGTGATTATTCGGCTAAATGTAATAAACATCAATTTTGTTTTTGTTTCTAATTTTTGTGTATGTTTTTTTTTCTTTGGGTGAGGCAAGGGGAGAATTTGGGTAAGGGGAGTAACTGGGTACCCATTATTTGGCCAAATTTTACTACTCGTGCATCCCTATTTTACACTAATTTTTTCAGCACTTCTTCCTTATTTTCAGCACTCACAAAACTGTTTAATCCTCCTGACAACAAAACATACTTGGATTCCACAATAAACAATGTTTTATCAAATTTGGTACAACTATTTTTTTTTTACCTTTCTTGTTTTTCACAAGAAACTCGACATGCTTGTGATTCTTCTTCTTCATCTACATTTCTTTCATTGAAAGATTTACTTCTTTGTTCTTGTGCCAATTTTTTGTTTTTTCCAAACCTATGAGAGTAAAAACTTTAAAGGTTTCAAAATATAGATAAGGAAACACTAAAAGAAATTGGGATTACTTACAAACACACATAGAGAAAAATACATGTACCAAAAATATATTTTATTCACTAGCTTTCCAAACAATTTAAAGCTCTGCAAACATAATCGTGTACCCCCCAGTGGCACAGCGGTATGTCTGCGGACTTACAACCCTAGAAACTGGGTTTCGATACCCTTGGTGGGCAGAGTACAGATAGCCCATTGTGTAGCTTTGTGATTAATTACAAACATAATTGTGTCTAACAGAAAAAACATTTAAGGAGCTTCTAACTAGACTGTAGATTAATGTGCACATTCTATATGTATTTAGAAATAGACATCAGTAGTAACATATTATAAACTTAAAAAAGCTTAAAAGAACAATATTAAAAATGATACATTTATTTTATATAAATTTAACAGGATGTTTTCAACTGTGCAAGTAAATTATCTTTATATACTCACTTGAAATGTAAGAAAAAAAAAAATATATATATATATACATAGCAGAACATTTGTATATAAATCATTCTATTTTTCTTATGTAGTTTATACACTGTTTGGGTATACTTCATAAATTATATTCCTGAATTAACTAACCCATCAAGTTCTTGTTTCCACTGTTGAAACAAGTATTTGATTGACTAGATAATTATGCAGTAATATTATATTTCAATATGCTGCAAAGAGTGAAAAATGAAAGCTATGGTAGCAGATCCTCCAGTGTAAATAAGACACAGATTCATTTTAATGTACATTGATGCAGTGCTCAGACAGAAAAGGCTTTAAAGATGTGCGGATGATAATACTCAGTAAATTGAAATTAACTATATATATTTCCCAATCACCAAACTGGGAAGTTACTAATATTTAAATTAGAAGATAGATGACATGAGAATGTTCTTGTTGGATCTACAATAAAATCTCAGTGGAATCCAAATAATCTTTCAGCTCACATTATGCTCATGTGCACAACTATGGGGCAAGTTTCTACTGTGCATTAAATTACTGTCTCTAAATGGGTCAGTTGTAAGATTACAGACTTAAAATGCTAAAATATGGGTTGCATTTACTACAGTGGACTCGGGAGATAACCGGATGTAGCTTTGTGCTAAAACAAACACAAAGGTACCATTTACTAGAACAAATATATTAGATCACTTTGTATGTGCAATACTTTTAGGCCTTAGTATGCAAATTCTCAAATTACCACGAGGATAATTTAAAAAATTTTCTTGTAAAAAATCATCTCAATTGTATCTAAAGGGAAAAGTTTATATACACTTTTTAAAAGTTAAAAAACAAAGAATTCTTTTTAAAGATGAAGAAAAACATTTAATTATACTGTAAAATTATAATTAGTGTTTCAACTTACTTAAAAACTAAGCCCAATCCCTTTAAGAAACTTTTTTTCTTTGTTGCTTTGCTCAATTTTTGTTGTCCACCTACAAGGTCACTAGTAGCAGGGATGGGGTGAAAATTTCCAGTAGGTGCTGGTCGTGTATGAACCTTTGAACCTATAGAGCTGCAAGTGTCAGTTTCTTCAGCCACTGCATAATTTATAGTTCATTAGTGTTAAAGGTTGATTATCACTCATCAAGTAATAATAATATATTTCAAAAACGCTTCTGTTAAGATCAGACCTAATAAGACAGATTTATGGGAGTTTGTATATGTTTTTCTAATGAAGAACTAAACACTTTTTCAAATATGTGTAGGTAAAATCTTGATTACAAATTATTCTTACTATTAAAAAGAGATTTGTATAAAAGTAATACTTAACTGAAAATAAAATTACAAAAGATATTAATATGTGTATAAATGTATGTTTGGCTTTTTAAATTTGCATAATAAAGTATTGTTAATTTTTCATTATTTAAAGAAAAAATTAGTTTAAAAAAACATACAAACAAGCTTTTCTTCCTTAATTCTCAAAACTGTTTAATCTAAATTTTGTGTTGGTTCAAATCAATTGCAAAATAAGTTATAGGTTATAGATTTTATTTTCAGATTTTTTTATTTTAATTAAATTGAAAATCATTGTTTATTTTAAAATGGGTGATAAAGAATAATCTTTTGGATAATATTGAGTTTAACTGGAAGAAAACTGTTAAAAGAGAAGATCTATGATTACAGCTATAAATTAACAATTTTTTTACATTTGGATTAGTAAATTTGGTGTTTGATATATATGACATGGTAAACCTGGTTTACCGATTTACATTCAAATAAACATAAATAAGTTTAAAATTGAAACAAAAAATTCAGAAATAAATTAAGAAGTTTAATTATAAAGATAAGTTAAAGTTTAAAAGAACAAATTAAATAGTCCTTTTTTTGTAGCAGTTTAGTGTTCAGATAGAAAACTTTAAATTCTATGTGTTCTCTTTTTGTGTGTACATGTACTATTTTTGGTAGCAAGGTGCAGAATCTAGTTTGCTGACATTGGCTGAAATGCATCACTGTTGCTGTTATGTATGATGTTAAGCAATTATTTCAAATAAATATTAGTTTTTATCTGTTTCTTAGTGTAAAAGCCAATCACAAGATGGATACAAGATCAGCTGAATTTAAACTTGTATTCTATGAAAATGTTCCCTGCATATTCACAACAGGGATTTTAAGGTATTTTTACTATAGGAAAATGACAGAGCTTTGGGCCAAGACAAAGAAACCTTTTAGAGTATAATTAATAACACAAAAAAAGTTCTAAAATGAAACATAGAGTATGAAAAACGAGTACATAAAGTAAACTTGAAGGTTCCCAACTGCTTTTGAGATGATAAATCTTCAAATGTGCCATAAATTAAGTAGCTTAAAAAACCAACACTATTTTCTAAACATTTTTTGAGATTATATTGAGTTTGAGAGGTTAAAGGAATGCCATGCAAAATGGAAAGAATAAGAACACAAGAATTATTTGAACAAATCCAATCCTGAAGATTCCCTGTTAGATTCATTAGTCAGGAGTGACAGTGTAGGGTGAGATGTACATAATACAATATTCTGGTTAGAGTGATCTAGTTTTTAGCTATTAATTTATTAGTTCATGAATAGAACATGACTATGACAGTGTGGCTGAATATAGGGAATTAAGTCATATCTGAAAATACCTCAAAGTATTGAGGAACTAAGTTTTATTACTTTATTGGAGTATATTTTCCTTTGTTCTAAATTACTACCAAAATGTTCTTATGTGTTGCATTACTTTCTTTACTTTGTATGTACATCCTATGCTTTCAATAAAATTATCAGTTGTGACCTAGATATATGATGGAGGAAAGGGCTGTTGGCCACAACCAGATCTTTCAAAGTTGGTCCTCATAGGAATACTGAAGAGATGGTGACCCGATTCTTTAATGACAATTGAACAGCTTTTCAGACTACAATTTTACATTTTGTGGTAGTATTTTGACAAACATATTGCAATGAGTTTTTGCATCTTTCAGTTGTAGTTCTTTCAGGGCATCTTTCAGTTGTAGTTCTTTCAGGTTGCCTACTGTAAGCCTCGAAGTTTCACTTTTGTCTTTATTAATTATTTTTATTTCAATGTTTTTAATTATCTATGGTCTTTTTTTTTTATCAGCTGGCAGAGTATAACAAGACTAGTTATTTAAGTTGGAGTGAAACATAATTTCAAAACAATACACAATATAATGTCATTTCTTCTTTTAAATTTAGTCATAAAATATAGTGAGAAATAAATGGGTTAAAATTTTGGAGTAGCAGTCAACTTAAATAAGATTTGAGTGAAACTTTCTGATAGCATCAGAATTTGTATAAAATAGAAATTTTAATTTTTTAACCATAGATGATTCTGATTACTGTAGTGGTTAAAAATGTTACATAAATTATCAAAAAGCCTGATTTAATTTGAAAAGTACTCTGATCAGGAGCAAAAGTCCTTTCAGACTGTCTTGGTACTTTTTGATTTTTTATGTTGCTACTTTACCTGTAAATGGCAACAAATTTAGTATCTGACTTACTTGTTAAACATTATTATAAAGTAATATTTAAAAAAAAAAGTGAAATTTGAAATGCACAAAATGGAAGAAATACTTCTAAACAAAATGTGAGTTAGATAAAGCAAGCTGAATGATGTTTTTGTCTTCCTAAATATATCTGTATTGACATGTTATAAGTGTTAAGCTGTTACACGAGTAATGTGTAAGATGTAGCAATTCTAGATTCTTGGCCATTTATTTGCAATAGTTTGTTTCACTACTTTCTGATTATATTACATTACTAAGTTCTTGGTAATTTCATTAATAATATCAAAGAGTTTCAGTATATATACTAAACTATAGTTTGTTTGTTTTTTACGATGCCAGGATGAAAACTTGATTCCTTCACACCCTTGTGGTGTTTTCATGCAGATAAACAAATGTGGTAAAAACATAATTAAAAAAAGCTTTCATTTTTGAATAAGTTCTTCAACAACTAGCACATCCATAAAACTAACACATCCATAATGCTTTATCAGTTGGGACAATTACAAATCCTTCAAAGAAATTATTTCAAAAAATTATTCAAATATGTAATTATATAAAGAAAGCTTATGTTCAAACCTTACAGTTTTCCCTAGTTTTGGTGATAAGTTCTTCACATGAGTGGTCACTTGCAGTCCTTAAGCTTTCATTGCAGCCATGTGCTCGTGCTACTTTGCCTGTGAGAAAGCGAGAGATCAGTGTTTGTTTCTTATCTTCTTTATGCAGCTCATGGACTAAAGTTTGGAGACTTTCCAAGCTACTGGACTTCCTTAATCCAATGAAAAAACCATGCTTCATCTGTGGCTCACTGCTGTTAATACAATCTCTACAAGAGGGTACTAAAAGACAAGGATAGTCTGATAATTGACATATCACTTTTAATAGACATGTTTTGATTTTGACAGTTAATAGTAGTTCCATTAAAGTATACAAAGTAAAAAATGCAAGAAAAATATGAAATGAAAAAAGTCTGATATGAAAACAAAAAACAAGTTTATAATGTAAAATATCATTAGTTAGTAAACTCAGAAATATAAACAAAGCATATGACACTGATGACTCAGTAGCTTTAATGATAAGGTAAAACTTACCTGTCTTTACATTCAGCATTACTGGATGTCTTAAATTTTTAAACCTGTTTTAATATGTATGTGCTAAAAGGGGAGTGGTTGACCTGAACAAGACAAATAGTTATATTCTCATGGTATGATAGAAAAAAAATGTAAATGTTTATTTCTATTAGTTACAAGTATTTCAAGCTGAAAAGTAAAAGGTCATATTAAAAATAAAAATGGCAGAAAAATATATTTTCTGATGAAAAATTCTCTATTATAATATCAATACTAAATAAAGAACATTGAAATTAAAAACGATTATTAATGGCTTAAAACCTTATTAAACATCCAAGTCATAAACTGAGGACTAAAAACAAAATATCTTGTTAAATAAAATGATCGGCATTTTTTATTTCACAAAAAAAACAAGTATTTTGTATTTAGCAATTCTAGAATGAAATAACAGTGAAAATTATCCAAGGCAGTAGTATAAACTATTAGTTTTTATCATAATATAAGAATTTCAATATGCATCTTATTTTTTTCATCATATTTACCAATGTACAAGTTTACAATATGTTTTTGTAAGCTTGATGAATTATTTAGAATACTGCTTATATTTACATAGTAACTTAATAAACATAGCTTTTGTACCTACCTGCTAATCTAGTGAATTATTTCAAGTGCTGCTTATTATGATGTATCAACTTAATAATTTCTTAAGACAGTATACACACACACACACACTTAACACCCTATGAAATCCCTTCAGTTACTGTTACCTAGTTTCTACTTTGAGTGTTAGAATTGTACAAGGCCATCTTAATACATTTTTATATCAAACACAAAAAACTAACATTATTAACAGTATTGATTTGACATCATAATATACAATGAAGTTTAACACTTCATTAAGATATAACAAACATTAAAAAAAATCATATAACAAAAACAGAGATAGATCCAAGATATGAGGTAGGGAGCATACCAAAATATAACATCAAATACAAATAATGAAAATTTATATAAATTTTGTTTAGAGATCAAGCCCCCTTAAGCATCCTCATTTTCTCTTCCTAGATCTTCATCCAAAATCTGATTTTTAACAGAAATGCAAACATCACGAACTTTACTGTATAAGAAACTAAGTTTATGCTGGATATACAAAACTGTTTTGTATAAGTGTTATTATTTAGTTTTATTTTGTGACTTAATATTTAATGATTATTAAGTTTTCATGAAAATTGTGTTAAAAATAATTACTTTAAAAGGCGATAGTTATGACAAATTTTATTACATAACTTGGTAAGAGTCGTACGTTGTGTGTGTGAACTCCAATTGTTGTAATTTGATGTCACATTACTCAAACTTTCTGTATTTTTCTTAATGCCTTAAGTGAGCACTGTTACATCATAGCATCTCATAGTTTGTAGAAAGTTCTAGGCTTCAGTTGGGCAATATATATATATAGGTGACCAAGTGAGCACAAGTGAAGTTATATCAGAAAAAGTTAAGTTAGTGAAAGTGAAGTTACACTGCATGATTGTTAGTTTAGCTGTAATGGGCAATATTTTAAAGTGAGTTTCACAGTTTAAAAAAAAGATAAGGAGAATAATTTGTCTTTTTAAAAGATGATCAAAAGTAACTGAACCTGCCTGTATGGATTTTGACAAAAAAGAGACAATTATTTAAAGTTCCGGATACATTGAAAAAAATTGCACATATTATGATGTAAACATAACACTGTGGTTAAACTAAATATTTTTAGTAATTTTTATTAAACCTGTAAATTTATGTTTGCATTTAAGCACACATAACACATATTCTTTTAGTCTGTTGACTTATAATGTAAAAGCTCATTCGCTACATACATGTTTTGCCCTTCCCCTTGAAAATATTTCTGTGGGTGCCCATGTGCAAATGTAATGTAAAATGTGCCATTTGGCTACAACTGCTTTGTATTAGAACATATCTGTCAGATTTTTATATATGTATAGGCCAGATTTTTTATAGTAGGTGTCTGTGACTTGTTGATGATAAATTTCAACAATAAACAAACAGCACACATTCCACTTGTTTTAAAATAATATATTAAAACAAGTCAAATGTATATACAAATGTTTGTTACACTGTTGGTTATCAAGATTATATCCAGAGCTTTAAATAATTGTCTCTTTTTCATCAAAGTCCACAGAGGCTGGTTCAGTTACTTTAGAACACAATTTGGTTATTAATTTACTTGTCCTTGTTCCAAACAAGGTTATATTGGATATACCATGAGATAATTGACACACGTGAAAGAACATGCAAATTTAAAGACATTAAATATATCAAGCATATTAAAGCATGCCTTAGATATGTGCAACATACTTGTCCATTCATATTATTTTATGATCTTAATTAAGACCAATGATGAGCAGAACATCTATATAAAAGAAGATATGCTCATTCATATGTAGAAGTATCACAACTTAGCTAAATGCTTCTTCTAAGTTTGAGTTCAACTAGTTTGTTTTTTGTTTTTACTCATTTTCTTGTTTATTTTGGATTCATTGTCTTTATTTTTATTTTGGTTGAAAGTTTTTATTTAGTTTTGAATTTGTTCTACATTTAATTCACCTATGAATTAATAAAATAAATTTAAATAAATCAAGTTAATTACATAAATAAATTGAAATAAATAGATGAAGTTATTGTACATTGTATTCGAATTATACTTGTATAAATCTTTTGTGAAGTGTATTTACAGCACAATGTAAAAAAAGAAGTTTGAATACAAGAATGTAGTTTGGTTTTTGTTCACTCTTTTTAACTGTAATGTGCCAAAAGTCATGTGTTTACACACACACAAAAAAAAGAACCTCTATAAGCATTTTATTAAAGTAAGTTTATGTAAAATCAAAGCACAAGTAACAATCAAACCCAAGAGGGTAATATTATGTACAATACAGAACTGACACTGGTGCTTACCCAAAAAAAAAAAACACAAAAAAAACATTTCATCAGTATGGATAGACGTTTTTCTATGGAAATGAATATAGACACCACTGCCTCAATATGGGCTAATTTTCATTAAAATGCCAGAGTTTATTTTTAGTCCCAGTCCATCATCGATGATACCTTCTAAATTTTCACATTTTCTGGTTTATCTGGGTTGTTAATTTTGCTAATCAGGGGTGTATTTTTCATTCATTTTACTTATTTTTAGAAGTGTTTTGTTTACTGAATTAATCTTTGTTTCTGGTATTTTTTTATTTTTGTTTTTAACTTTAATTTTATAGCACAGTTATATCTAAATTTAACTTGCTGGCTTTTCCTTGCTGTGCTTAAGTTTATTTGGTTTTAATATACATGACTGTGGTTATGCTTTATTATTAAATATTTTGATTATTTTATTTCTACAGAGCAGGTTATGAAAGGTGACAGTAGGTATTAAAAAACAGATGTGATATCTAACACAAAACAAATGCTACTAAGTACACATACAAATATTATAATGGACAAATGACAAGCTACTAGAGGTGTGAATAGGTACTGAATACAACTGAAAAACAAAAATTCTACAGCAATTGAATACAGAAACAGAACACATAGTGAAACAGATTCTAGTTGGACAAGTTATGAAATCTTTGAAAAATGTTTCAAATAAAAACTGATTTTTTTACCTGTTGTAAGAATGATTAAAAATAAAAATGTTTACTGATATTAGTATATGGAATGATTCAAAACAATACTTTCTTAGATTCAGTAATAGCAAAAATTTAAATAAACACGACACAAGGTAAAAAAAATTTCACCAAACCTACCATTCTCTTGTTTTTTATTAACACAAATTTCATGAAGCAGAAGACTTTGTTCTTTAAGACTTGGTTGCTGATATTGTTCCTGCTCCTGTTTGTACTGTGAAATTTGTTTTTCTCCAGCCTGCAGCTGTTTCAGTCTCTCTCGCTCTTCACGGGCCTTTTTATTACGCTGAAATGTATCAGTATTGTGAGCATCTAGCTGAGCATGTCGTTTTTCTGATATACTTTGACGGCCAAATCCATCTCGGGACAATGTGAATTGACTTTCATCATCCATCAAAGCCCTAGAGAGAACAGAAAAAAAAAGATAAATGTCAAAGCAATGAATTTCTAGATAACTTCTTAGTAAAACAAAATCCTGTTTTTTGCATTCATTTACATATTTGATCATTACTACTCATTATAAATGATATGATGAAATGTTGTGTGTGTACTTCAATTGTTGTAATTTGACATCATATTACTCAAATCTTCTGTATTTTTCTCATTGCCTTAAGTGAACACTGTTACATCATAGCGTCTCATAGTTTGTAGAAAGTTCTAGACCTCAGTTGGGCAATGTATATATATATATATATATATATATATA